TCTATCTATCTCTCTCTCTCTCTTTCATCTGTCTATCTGTCTAGCTGTCTACCTATCTATCTATCTATTTATCTATCTATTTATCTATTTGTCTATCTGTCTACCTGTCTATTTGTGGTGCAGTGTCATTCAGTGTATTGTAGTGTGGTGTAATGTAGTGTAGTGGAGTGTAGTGGAATGTAGTGTAGTATAGCGTAATGTAGTGTAGTGTAGTGTAATTTCGTGTGGTGGAGTGTAGTTGTGTAGTCGTAGTTGTAGTTGTAGTATAGTGGATGTAGTGTAGTGTAATGTAGTGAAGTGTAGTGGAAGGTAGTGTAGTGTAATGTAGTGTAGTGGAGTGTAGTGGAGTGTAGTGTAGTGGAGTGTAGTGGAGTATAGTGTAGTGTAATTTAGTGTAGTGGAGTGTAGTGGAGTGTAGTTGTGTAGTTGTAGTTGTAGTGTTGTGGAGTGTAGTGTAGTGTAATGTAGTGTAGTGAAATTTAATGTAGTGAAATTTAATGTAGTGGAGTGTAGTGAAGTGTAGTCTAGTTGTGTAGTTGTAGTGTTGTGGAGTGTAATGTAGTGTAGTATAGTGGAGTGTGGTGTAATATAACATAGTGTAGTGTAGTGAAGTGAAGCGGCGAAGTGAAATCTGAACCTCCAAAAGTGGTCTGAACCCGTAGTGTTTTGTACAATTTCATTTCGAAGTGTGTTTCGCGACACAACGGCGTGTATTTTTTCGACATCTAAACCTCCAAAAGTAACGCGAACATGTAATGTTTTGTACATTTTCACTTCGAAATGCGTTTCGCGCCACAACGACGTGTATTTTTTCGACAGCTTAACTTCCAAAAGTGGTCCGGAGCTGGTGTATTTTGTACATTTTAATTTCGAAATATGCTTCGTGCCACAACGACGTGCACTTTTTCGACATCTCAATTTCCAAAAGTGATCCGATTCTGGTTTGTTTTATATATTTTGATTTCGAAATATATTTCGCGCCACAACGGCGTACACTTTTTCGACATCT